GTCGAGAGACCAGCCGGGAGCTTACAGCTTCTTCCGGCTGGGGCGGTGCCCTGCTGTTGGAAGATACCTGGTTGGGGAAAATCTTCGAGTCGGCGGATCTTGGCATCGAGCGGAGGATGATCACCACCAGATCCCCCGATAAAAACATGCACTACACTAACGACGCTAACGCTCTTTGCAGTTGACGCTCATTGCAGTCGCTAACAATCATTCGTGTGCAAGGCTTGAAATCTTTCGTTGTAACGCATAACGGAAGTGGAAAAATGTAACTCTCCTTGTTGGCCTCTACCGAGACAAACAATGAACCCGGAAACTACTTCGAGAGATAAAGATAGAACTAGGGCTCTTTCAGAATTCTCAACAATTTCACTTGTTTGTTCCTGACGTGGCGATTTGGGTAGGAAAAACTGTTTTAGCTATATTTTTTGTTCCGTACCAGGTACAAACTTCTAAATGTTGGTTACAAGTGAAGAAACAACTTCATATAATTTTACTGTTTTTTGCGACCAACTTTACGCTTTTTGAACATTAATTTGACTCTTCCGTTGATAATGAAAATGATATGAATGTGCGTTAGTGATAAATCTACTAGCAGGAAATACATACTTCAGATTTTGATATTTATTATCTTATACGCGAAATTGGTTTCGGAAAAATGCGAATCTGTCCCGAAACTTTATTTTCACTATACTTTTAAAAACAGAATTTTGTAAAAATTGTCTAAAGGAAGGTGAAACATTCACACATGAATTCATTAACAAAATACTTTTGGTGCGGCGAACTTCACGGAGACAGGTGGCAACCAGTAATTGTAACCCGTTTGTATAAAAGTGTCAATTTTCCCGGTCATAGGTATCGCATACCGTTTACGAAGTATTGACAAAGTATTGAGATTTTGTGGCAATTTTATGGCAGAAAACATCTTTCCGGTAGTTTTTCGTGCTTTCTTCGATCAGCGCCAGGGAAGCCCCGGAGCAGAACCGGAACACACGGTCCACGGACCGGGCGTGATCTCTTCTACCTGCCCTATTCTCGTCTCTTCCTTACGCACACTTACACTTATATGCACTACACTACCACACAGTCGAAATGTTAGTGCTTGTCTCAACAGGGACCACGCTTCCCCGCTTGAGGGGAATGCCAGGTTGGGGAAAACTCCTCATTATAACGTATAGGCCAACGCCGGATCCGCCACCCCGGTGACAAACCTGCACTACACTTACGGGCATTGTTACGTTAGCCGTTGACGAGCCCAGAATCACATACTAATCAATCAATCCATCCGTCTCTCTGTCCCTCTGGCTGCCTGTCTGGCTGTGTGGCAGTGTATTTGTCCGTCCGTTCCTTTACCTGTGTCCATCTGTGCGTCCGGCTGTCCGCCTATGTGCATGTTGTCTGTCCGCCTGTCTGCTTGTCTGTCTGTTCGTCTGCCATCTAGTTATTTATTAATTTTTATTTAACTTATTTATTTACATTTGACGTTAAAAAAGTTACAACCCTTGAATGACGTACCCTCTTGTGGGAAGACGAGTAGTCCTTGAACGTTTTCTTGAATTATGGACCTCACCCTTATCCCATATTCATGTTGAACTTTGAATACAAATGGAAATTAGAATTTTGGGCAAGAATTCATAAAGTAGTAGCTCCCTTGTAATAAAAGCTCGTGGCTATTAGCCCTCATCGTTCCCTTGTGAAGCTATCGGCATACTGCACGTACGGCAACATGGAGAAATTTCATTTGAATACGTATTATCCGCAGTGAACTCTAGAAAAAGTACACAGATAATGATGTTACATTTACGTGTGAAAGCAAAACAAGGAACCATCTCAGCATTTCCTCAAAAAGTCAGCGAAACTGGGCGACAAACTTGATCCAGTTGGTGGTCATTGACCGAGAAGCTGAGCTACAATGCTTCTTAAATACTTCTTAAATACTTAAAAAGTCCTTAAGCATTATGCAGTCCAAATGGTAACTAATGGATTAAATATCTTTGTTAAAATCAATATGATGTTTTGTTCTTCGGTGTAGTCTCTAGTTGAGTAGAAACCGTTATACAACACTAAAGATTTACCTTGCTCTAATGTAATATTATTTAATTTGTTTGAAAATATCGGTTGGACATTTTCAAAGGTTTTTAATGACTCGTTGTGAACTGATTGAGGAATTTATTAGAGTGGATAAACTCATGGCTTGCTATAACTATGTACGTGAGCTCGAATTGCAGCGTAGATCCGTTGCGGACCGGTGGGTTTATGGGTTGGAAACCCTCTTGATGGTTCGAGTAGTACTAAAATAATACGAAACCGTTATAGAGCTAGCAAGAAAGTGTCTGTGGGCACAGCAGCACTAGTTAATAACGTTATCCCAATTTATTCGCAACATTCATATTACGTCAGATGAGCCCATTTTCGGTTGATATGTGTGAGCGTTTCATTGAGGCGGCGCCATTGCGGGGGTGGGTGAGGATAGACCCCGGACGCGCTCGGTTGCACCAAACGCTCGCCCACGGCAGCCGAATCATGGGGACTCCCGCCCGGCTCTCGATCGAAGCGCACTTCCGGCGCGGCCCGCGTGGGGCGAGTGTCGTCCCCCTCCGCCTCCGCCCCGCTCCCCTGACTCGGCGGCTGCTGCCCGAGTGCCGTCACTTTTGGAACAAGCGTGGAAGCTAAATAGCCGGATGGGTTTCGGCAGAGCATTTAGAAGACAAATCTACACGCGAAGCGAAATTTCGTCTTGTTCATCGCAACTTAATCCATGTGGAGGACGGCACGCTGATGCAACTCGTTAATACAATTCAAAATATTTTGAGCAAAGCGTTGCCGTTTTGCTTGCATCAAAATCGCAGAGAAGACACCCCGATATCACCAGTCAATTGTTCATTTACTGTTGAGCTTGAAAGTGCGCACGACCCCGCCAGGCTTTAAGCTGCCTTACGCACGTTTCTGCACTTATGTTGGTTCACGCGGAAATCATGAAGATGACAGAGAATACAACCTTATGGTTGTCGCAGGCTAAATGACGCTCACGAATTTATAAGCGATGATGGGGTTTACCTCTGGGAAATGTTCAGTTCTTACACAGAAAAACCGGGAGAGGTGGCTCAGTACATCAGTTGATGTCACTGCAGTGTCTCTGAAAGGGAGGTCCTAGGATCGTGCGCCGACTGTGGCAAGATTTTCGACCTTAGCTTGTCAGATAGATCGGATTCAGCCGCTATCTGGATGAGAATTCTAGCGGCCACCTGCTCTAATATGTAGTTTTCCGTGGTTTCTCCGATCAACACCAGGCAAATGCAGGAGCACTACCCTAACGAACGGGACACGGACCGCGCGTGATCTTACCTCCTTCTTCCTTGTCGTATCCTCACCCCTTACATACACTTACACTAACATGCAGTACACTACCACACGTGCTGGGAGACCGATCGGGAGATTAGAGCTTGTCCCGGCTGGGGCGGTGCCGCGCTGGTGGGAGATGTGTTTGGGAAACCCGGCTAGCCCACGGTAGTTCGGCACCTGATCTTGTCATCCACCGAAGAACCATCCACCTTGCCATCCATCACAGCCACCTCCCAAAGAAGAACAATGCAATACACTCACGAGAACAATGACCTCTTTCACTGACGCGCCCGGAATGACTAACAACGAACCAAACTACACCGCAAAGATCCCTTCCAAATTTTGTATCTGCTATATGCTACTGCTGTGGCGAAAGTGCTTTTGCATTTGTTTTTAATTTATGATCTTTATTTAAATGGTAATCTCAACATATTCTTTTACTTTGAGTGTCCTACAGTTTTATTGTATTTTTATATATTTATCATACATTAAATTTTATCTACAAATAATTTATTTTAAACGTAAAATATAAAACAAGAAGAATAAAAAATCTTAATGATACTTGTTGGCAACTATTTTTCTAGAACAATTTTCATTGACCATTTCAGGTTTTCCAGTTAATTTCCCTCTTAATTTATTTTTCGACAGATCAGTCAAATCAATTTAAAGAGGAAGAAGTGTTTCAAAAATCGTATGACAATCCAATAAGAGCAATTCAAGAATCCCGGCGCTCTGAAAGGCGAGGTGCCCCCTCCCTATTTTGAAAGAGGACTCACATCGCATTTCTTAATCTACCGCGGGCATATTGGGACAATAAATCTATGAAATTGTATCGTATCTTAAACAGAAATTACGGGAAGTACAGTATTCTTTTGACGTCCCCCTCAAAGTGTTTTACAAATCAATATATACTTCTGTTTAGAATAGTGATAGATCTTTCTGTTTTGTGACTCATGATTACAGCTGCCTGGTATGAATCCCAAGCGCGTACGAAAACAAAACAAGTCGTCCCCACAGGTGGTCTCAGGAGTTCCCTGAACGCGTGCCCGACGCAGCCAGCCGCGCGTTTCCGGTGCACGGGTGCACGGGCGTGGGGGGAGGGCGGTTTCGCCTTTTCAGCGCGTCGGTGGAGCGCCCAGGGGCGAAGGCGGCCTACGCTCCGTGGATGAAACGAAACCTTTCAATCCATCAATTGCTACCTAAAACAGAAAGTAATTCTTCTTCAACATACGCCACTCCGGATGGCACAGTTCGAAGTAATCAGGCCTCTCAAGAAGATATTAACTTAACAGAAATCTCCACCACCTTTCCTCTTGGTACAACGCGCTTGAAAATGTCTTGACGTGACCGCTTAATGAATGTCAATCTCTGAAGTGGGCCTAACCGTTGGGTGCTTAGTCAGGAGGTCGCTGTCGAGAGGGAACATTAACACGTGTCATAGGAAGACTAATGCGTTCCACAATAAAATCGCTGTTAGTGGAAGTGATCGCTTAATCGAGATGACCGTTTGATTAGGTTTCACCGAATGTCCTTGAAATTACTTTTGCAGTTCTGACAATTAAATTGAGTAATTATTTTCGGTGCTTTCAGTTATCAACCCCCCTGAGGTAAGTTATCTACCCTGTGGTAAGTTGTGTCGTTGCAGGATTCCGGTGATCAGCATGAACCTGCGGCGTAAGCGCGAGGCGGGCGGCGAGGACGACGGCGGCGGCGGCGAGGGCGGCGGCGGCGGCGGGGGTGGGGAAGGCGACCTGGAGCACAGAACGGCCTGGGCCCTGGGCCTGGGGCTGGGCGCGAGCCGTGGTGACCTGGAGGCGACAATCAACGCTGGCCGACGACTTGGAGCCGTCCGCGCTGACGACGGCTGCCCGACTTCGACCCCAGCGTGGTTGCTGCCCATCGGCATGTACTGCCACATCGTGGACAGCCTGGAGACCGGCTGTCTGGCCAGCAGCGTCCTCGAGCTGTGGAAGTACAACGCCACCGAAGTGGCCGGCCTCACCAAGGCGCAGATCCTGAACGCCCTCAACACCACCATCGGGTGAGTCCTCGCCAACCAAAAGGAAAGGAAATAACTTTCACCCACAAATGTGTGTTTCTTCAAAATATTTCTTAGTGATTCATCAATACTCTCTTCAAACGCACAGGACGCACACTGTCAGCCTCCTCCTATAGCTCTGAGCCACCTACGTCACCGTGTCTGACGATTTAACGTCGTGTAAAGAACGCCGTGTTGGTTAGTATGCGTCTCTTATGGAAAAGACGGTGCCAAAATCGAACTGGAAGAAACTTAATATACAATTATTGTATAATTTAAAGTCATCTGTTAGTGAAATCTTTAATTAGCTCCTATTTGTTGTGTTGTCTATTTTTTCTCCAATCTGAAAACTCATAAAACAATCGTTATGCCAGGAGTAAGGACGCCTCCGCCCAGGTGATTTATTGGATTCGCATTTTACTTTCGGGAGCAGCGATAAAAAGTTTACTCTGCGGCCAAATATAATTTCCTCTCATTTCGTTTGGTGACCTCCAACTTGTAGAATAATAGAACTAGGTGGCTCTAACAGAAATCATTAGAGAGGCTGCCCAAAGTAGAAAGAATAGAAAGACCTTTATCACTTGAAACATTAAGTTTGAATTATTGAACACATATGTAATATTTCATTATTACGAAATTACTACCGAATCAGCCACTCTAAATAATCTGCAATGATATTTATACTGATCTCTAGAGTCATGATTCCCATGTATTTTATTTAACCTTTGTAGAGCTTTTTAATCTATTGTACATATACGTTTCATGGCAAAAATGTTTCAAAAATGCATTGTTTTTTGTGTTTCCATATTTGTATGTTTTGATAATCTTTTTTGTTGTTGTTTTGAAAAATTCATTTATTAGGCATGCTTTATGTTTTTATTGCATATTGCATATATTATTGCATATTGAGACTTCTATTAAGTACTTTTTATTATTTTTTGTATTAGTTAATACTAAAATTGATGTGTATTTTGTAGAAATAGTATATTGTTATCAGATCCAGAAAGCACGTTATATTTGTTGTTTATTGTCATACCATACATATTTTAATCCTCTGATACTTGTGCTAGATTTGCTACACGAGTACATGTACTGTAAGCAACATTTGCCATATGAAGTTTTAGAGCCAAACGATAAGTCAAGTCACACGATTCGGATAGAGATGAGCCGTAACTCTATATCCCTTGGTAACTGACAATGGGAGGGAAAAACAACCGCGTGCACACTCGCCGTCCACTTCTGTGCTATGGAGGATTAATAGAAGTTTTTAAGTGTAAAGTGTAAAATTACTCCTTCCAAGACTTTCGCGCGCAATGTATCTCAAACAATGAATTAGAAAAAGCAATTGTCTACGGAGAGATGGAAATGTAGTTTATTGCATATTCTCGAATACAGAAGTAATAAATGAAAACAGATTTCACCAAACTAAACTGTATATTTTTTTATAGTGGAAATAATTATTTTTTGGGAATCATAAACGGTTTTTTTTTCGTAGTTCTGACATGTTTCTGATGCTCAAGAAATTCTTTTGTGGTAACAGATCAGTTGTTTTTAAATTATTGAATGTGGTAGTGCACATACGTTCCTTCGAAACAGTTTTCTCCAGTTCCAGAATTTTACCTCTATTACTTTCAAGAATATTAAAAAACTAAAGTCGCTATTGACCCAGCAGTCAATGCCGCATAAATGAAAAAAATATTGGAACAAATTGCAAATTCTTGAGAATTTCGTCATCGTTTTTACTTTCTCGCCTTGCGAATTATTTGTAAGAAGAGAAATTGTGTAATCGCGTGCCAGAAAACACCGATTTTTTTCTTCAAGTTTGTTCCAAGAATAAGAAACGCGTCAAAGAACTATGACGTTCAAATTACTGCATCTGTTAAAGAATCATGTCAACACCATAAATATAAGTAGTGAAATATAAATATGAAGACAAAATTTCAAGCATACACGCACTGAATATGATCATGTATTAAAGAATATTAGGGAATTATAATTAAGGAATATATATAAAATATTGAGGAAAAATAGTGAAGCCAACCTTGATAAATGCTTTTTTTAAAATTATTTTATTTCCGTTTGACTTTAGTCTTTCGGGGATTTTGGCGGGTATAATGTTACAAACAATAACTTTACTTGCCCATCCTCAGGCAAATGCGGGTCTCGGAATAACCCTCGACAATTATTCAAATTTCATATTTGAAATACTTGATTAAGAGAAGTTTGCATTTATTGTTGAGATGTGGAGGGAAAGAGTTTGTGGGAAACGGAGGCAAATAATTTTATGAATTAGGGTGGGCGAAAGAGATCTTTGGGGAATCTGGATTTAATGCGTGATGGATAATGTGCGTTTTGGCCGAGATTGAATATTGGAGTGTTGGGGCATGCTGGGAGGAGAGAGTAATATTTTTAAGAGATTTGTGAGATGAATCCCGAGAGGAGAAATACCTGAATCTCTCGGTGGCTTTCTGAATTCGAAATGAACCAGGGGGATTTCAAGGTTTGCCTTAGACGTTTTGGGTTGTCTGCAAATGGATAGATTGGTTGGTGCTATATTGCGCCATATTGGACAAGTGTATGTCATTGAGGGTCTTATTATCATTTTATAGAATTCCGCCCAGTTTCTATACTGTGGGCGGAATTTCTGTTGATAAACGTGTATAGATCTAGAACTTTGGCACGTGTCTTCAGGGCTCTTGATTGAATGTGCGGTTTCCACGTTAGCCGTTTGTTCAGTAAGACACCTAGGTATGTGGCTGGCGAAGAATGAAAGAGCCAGGGGACGTCGGTGTTATTTCTTCTTAGTGGTATGGGGAAGGGAGGACGTCTGAGAGTGAATACTTTGAATTCTGAAGGCTGAGTTTATATCAGTTCGTGAAGTGAAAATAGCGGTATCGTCAGCATGCAGTGCTATACTTCATTCGTGTGGAGTTGGATAGTTTGCTGTGTAAATATTGAGAAGAGCGTTGGTGAAAGAACCGACCCTTGTGGGACGCCTGCGAGAAGTGAAAAAAGAATAGCATCATTTACTTTCACTTAAAAATATCTGTCTGAGAGAAAGCTTCCAATTAGTTTCTGCAGATAATCAGGTCAGGCAAATTCCGTCTATGATGAGATGTCTAAAAAGATAACTACTGTGTGCTTTTTATTGTTAAAACAGTTTACTATGTGCTCGACAAGTCGCAGCAGTTGATGGGTAGTTGCATGTTTAGGTCTAAAATCGAATTGGGTGTTGGGAATTGCATTAATTTTCGTCAAGTATGTTTGCAGTCTCTTTAAAAGAAGTTTTCCAAACAAAATTTGCTATAGAAGGGAGAAGGCAATATGCCTGTAATTATATAAAGTTTTTGGTTTTTGCCTAGTTTGCAGAGTGGACGAATAACAGCCCGTTTTCACGATAACGGATAGTATTCTATACTTAACGAGCATTAAATATCGTTGTTATTATTGCTATTGCTTGTCGAGGAAATTCTTTTAATGCTTTGTTAGTGACGTCGTCGTACCCGGGTGCTTTTTTAGTCTTTGAAAGTTTAATGATATTCGCCACTTCTGATGGAGAAATAATTTTTATCTTCGTTGGGGCAGTGGTAGCCTCTCGTACTCTTCCACTTCTGAATTGAAAGTGGGATATTCTATGGGATTTGGGAAGGAGACACTTTGTAGATATTCTGCTAAGGTGTTCCCTTTTTCAGCGTCTGAGTATACTATCTTACCATTATTATTTAAAGACGGTTGCTCTGTTCGCTCTTTATGCTTTTGATTGTTTTCCTTGTCTAGTATTTTGGGAAAGTTGGCTTAGAAATTTATCAAAGTTTGAAAATCTGAATTCATCTACTTTTTGTTTGCCAATTTTTGAGATGTGATTTAGTTCACGTTTATTGTTTGTAATTCTATTGGGTTGCCAAATACGTCGGATTTTTCTTTTCTTTTTAGCTAGTTCATACGTTCTTTAGGCAGAATCGTTTTTGACTTTCTCTTTATCTGATAGAATATGAACGTATTTTCATGACTGTTGTATGCAGTCAGTTAGTTTAATTCGATACCTATGTCTTCAGTAGATATCATGTTGTGCGTTAAACTGCTAGTTATTAAGTCACGGAAATGATTCCAGTTAATTTTACCATTGATTTGTTCCAGAATTTTCTCTAAAGAGTGTGTCGGAGTAACCAACGATATGAGAATGGTCAAAATCTAAATCTGGTACTAATTTCTGATAGCTCAGTGAGGTTATACCTTTTGTAATGATTATATCTCGAATGTCTGCTCTCTTGTTTGGATCTGTTGGGTAGAAGGTGGTTTCTACAGGGGCACGGATACTAATATTGTGTGCGTTAATTTCCGGTCCGTTGCGTTAAGCAGTTTGGCACGCTGATGTGTAGTCAATTGCAACCCCAAGCTCTGTTTTGCTATTTAAATCACCCATCAATATAAATCGAGGATATTGAGAAAAATATTTTGCCGTATTCTGTTGGAAAGTTTTTGTTAGGTGGTTTATATGTTGCAATGATAACTACTTCCAATTTATGGTAACTAATGTTAATTGCTATTGCTTCTAAATCTACTGAGTGGGGAACAGGTGCTTGACTATGCTTAATATCTTTTCGAACTATAATCGCTACTCCGCATGAAGCATTTGTTAAGATCCGATCATTACGATAAATTTTGAAATCGGGTATTGAGAAACGTTCGCCTGGTATGAGGTGAGTGCTATGCGATGCTATTATTATTTTATGCTCGTTTAAGAAGTGCCGGAAGGAATTTTCTTGTCTCTTTATTCCGTTTGCATTAAAGTTAAGTAGGCTAAGAGTATTTAGTTTATTTGGATCAATTATAGTAATCGGGAAGAACATTTAAAATCATATTTTGGATTTGAGGCATTAATTGAGATATTATTTGGGATTAAATTTAGGTGTTGTAGTAGGGTTAAATACTCATTGCTGGTCATATGAACAAATATTGGGTGAATTTTAATATTGTCCTCTTTCAAACTTACTAACGTTTCTGTTACTTCATCTTCTTCTTCACTGAGAGAAGTGAACCTTGAGTGAATAGGTATATTATATTGCACTGAGATGCTATTGTTCTCACTTTACTTTGTGTTTTGGTTATCGAAAAGCTTTCGTGTTTTTTACTGTCACTGTCCGTGATCAATGTGTCTTTACTTCTGCGCAGAGGTGTGAGCTGCTGTCTCGCTTCATCTTTTACCTTGATCATGTTGATAAGCGAATTGTCGAAAGGCCGCTTGTTGCAATGTGACGGGTTGTTGCTGTTGGGGTGGTAGCTGCATTGCCTACTGAGGTACTTGCAGCCAAACATATCTAGGTTGATTCACTTCAATCAACTGTGGTTGCTGACCTAATTGTTGCACTATAAACCGCTTTTGAGGTGAATGATGCACATGATGTTGGTGAATTTGAACCTCACTGTGATGAGCGTTTTTTTTCCTGGTAGGAGCATCAGATAACACATTTGTGTGCTCTTGCTTTAATTCATTGCATTCACTGGATGTACCGTTAAGAGTGAGCATTGCATTAGCAATGTGATCCGTGTCGGGGAAGCCACTCGTAGACATTACGCGCTGTTCAGTTGAAAGCGAACTTGAACTTGGCACATATCGCCGTCAGGTGGCGCGGCCGAAACTCCACTGTAGATTAGAGTGTTAGAGTTAGCTCGACGAGCACAGCTCGGCTTCTCGGACTCGACTGCTGATAAATGTTAAAACAGTTGTATTGTAATGTACAATAAATAAACATTGTTTGTGGTGAAAAAAGAAAATGCAGAATTTGATATTTTATTGGCTTATATTTTATCGATGAAGAACGTCTTGTGTCATATAAAGTTTTTCTGCATTCAAAAACATTTTTATGACAAAAAAATGGATTTATCTTACGACAATATTAAATATTGTTCATTTCTCACTGTTATTAATTGCATTAAGCCAACAGAAATATTGTAAACAAAATAGTGAATATTTTGTTCATTTATATACTTCATCGTGAATATTCGGCTACATGGTAGTGCATGCATATTTTAGCATTTGATAGTGCATGGAAATCTCTGTCTCTACTGTTAATACATAAACTGCAATAATAACAAAATACAAAATAGAAGAGTTACTCATGTCCGTAATAGTTATAAGCAAAGTCACCTGATACAAATATTGAAGACTGTACCTAAGGATACCATTCAAGATTCCTAATTATCCAACTGAAATTGATGAAACAGGGTCCGTAATTAATAATATCATAACGGTAATCAGAGCGAGGTTTTGCACGGCGTACACCAACCGACTGAAATTTCGATCTTCTGCGAACGCGTAGTTGCACAAAGCGGGCAGCACTATTGATTCTCTGCGCACGCGCAGATGCACCGAAGTGATGCGGAACGAGAACTGCGCAAAAGATCGAGAGAGCTGCAACGTTCGAGGGTACACAAACTCCCTATTAATGATGCGAAGCAAACTAAGCATGCGCAGAAGATCGATAGTGCTATCGATTGCTGTGACGTTTCGCCGAGCTGAAAATTCTTTATAACTCTAAAACAGACTGATTTACATTACGATTTCATTCGCAGTGTAAGAAATAGTAATCGATCAATAGATAGCGCTGGAGTGGGATACAGCATCGCAGCTCACCGTCTGCGGCGCTCGTCCGGAAAGGGATGCCAAGTGGCACAAACAGCTACGAATTTGGAATATGAACGTTTTTTGTGGGGACAGTCCGGAAGTTCGGGTATTTATTTCACCTAAAATAGGCTGGCAAAAAGGCATTTATTTTTTACTAAAATAAGCATGCAGAAAAGCATTTATTCTCCCTAAAGTAGAGGGTAAAAACACGTAACATTTTTTTAAAAAATTTAAAAGTAATTGATAAATAATTAAAACGATTCATATTTTTATTCTCCCTCTAAAATTAACATTAATACTCACGTGGATGGAAACTACCTTTTCGTTGTAATGATGATTGCATATGACAATTTGGTATGACGAATTTTATTTTACTCGTGACACTGTCTCTACTATAACTTACAGATAGCTCTGTCCCCAAAAGGTACCTGAGGCCATACACAAACATACAATGAGATTTCTCGTGAGCAAACAAATCTGTAAGTATGTGAATTTGATCTTCTGGACCACTCATTTTTATAGTTCTCAAAGTACCGAGAGATATTCTCTAAAATGTGAAAAGAAATGATCAGAACCCTAGTAAAAAGAATGCGTCTATTGTTCAGTAATTGTCTATTGTACATCATGTGTGCATTTTAAAATGTAGTATTATACATATTACTGCTTATTAGTTTTAGTTTTAAGTGTGAGTTAAAATTTGTGGTGGAATTGTTGGAACCACTTCTTAATATCTGTTTAGCAGGCTAACAATTTTCACATAACGATTTCACTTTTCCATCTAACTCTTCAATAACATTGAAATAAATTTTCCATTTAGAATTGCACATTTTGAATATTTATCAACGCCCACACTCGTTCATAAGATAAGCTCTTTACTCGGCGCGTGTCCAAGCTTTTAACCACCTTCCAAACAGGTGGTGGTGCATCATGTGACACTATAATATACGTCTGTGAAGTGGTCTCCAAAATCTCTTAGTCGATATCTCAAAGTGTCTCGGGAAATGAATTTTCTTTGATTAACCAAAATTTTGAGTTATCAAAATCGTTCTTTTAAATACTGCTACAGGGAATGGAAAATTGCTTCCAAAGATAAAAAATTCGTGTAATCGTCGTTTGTGTTTTCCAGGTTTGTCTGCATACTTAAATTCAAATTTTCAATGGCGGGTCAATAAAAATAATTTTTGTATTTTGAAAATACGAAATACCATCACAAAGTACTTTTGATACAAATGCAAAATATATGTTCAAATATGTATTTTCGACACAGAAAACAAATTACAAAAGCATCGAAAATACGTATTTGAACTACACGTACTTTCGACGCCGCCCCGCTCTGGGTGGCCCGCGCTCCCTTGCAGTGGTGCGCGAAAGCAGCCCGCGTGCGCCACAGGGTGCGTGGGGCTAAGTGGGTGCGCGCGTGCGTGTGCGCAGGCCCGTGCTGGGCCACCCCACCGACTTCCGCCGGCTGCTGGGCGCCGTGCGGCGCGACGCGCGCGGTCACGTGGTCAGCGCCGGCGCCGTGCTCTCGCTCTACATGCTGCGCGTCAACTTCTCGGCCGTCAACATGGACGAGAGCGGCAACGAGGCGGGCACCGCCGACTGGGTGAGTGGCGCAGGAGCTGTGCGCGGTGCGCATTCGGGAGGTCATCCTGACCGGGCTTCTCGCGGTTTCCGTTGGTCATCCAGGCGATAGTTCTCCTAAAAGGACACGACCGTGAAACCGGCTCCGCTAGCCGAAGTCGTTAACTACGTCAAGTCACGAAGGTTAAGCGACTTCGATGTGATTCACATATATTTCACAAAGGTTGGCTAACTTGTTCTTTTACACCCTATTATTCTTGCCATTCCGCCAATTGAAAATTGTGGTATCATGTTGTCAATGTATTTTTGCGGTAGCTAGAATGCAAGAAAAAAACACTTAAAGTTCTTTCTTTAAAAAATATGCATAATTCAATGATTAAGTTCAATCTATTGCCAGTTTAATTAAAAGCATGATGATTGTAAGCAAAGCAGGCTCTATGATATTTGATATTAACGGCCTGTCCATTTACATCCGACATATTTGTCACAAATTAATATTCTCATCATCTTTTCGGCATGAATTGATATCACTTTTTACAACATTCTTCTTAGTGATATTGGAACAAAGAAAGGCACTCGTGAAAATTATTCCTAACCTCCAACTACTGCGCTGAACTGACACTGTGCGGCTGTCGCTGCAACGCACGTGCCTGGCGAAAGAATATATTCCGCAGAGCGAGACGGCCTTTGGCGATGCTCAGCTCTCTTAGAATATTGTTCTTGGCGCACATTTTGCCATACTTCCACTTGCATTATTAAAATACTAGAAAATAAAGTAAACTAACGAGGTACTGAAATGCTATAAAAATAATGCATATGTTTATAAAATAATTAAAATTAGAAAAAGGGTATTCCAGTCCTCTAATACGATTTCATCATCAACAAAGCTTCGTAGGGTCTCAAAAGGCCTCATAGATCCTCAAAGGGCTTAATGCAACGAAAACTCAACAGGGCCTTGCGATCAGGTAATGCTTTAAGCTAGGGGTATCAGCATGGAAACATGACTTTTCCCCAACCTGGTAATGATGCTTTGAATATGCTAACCTATTGACTAAACATGTTTGTAGAGTCGATATGCACCTCATTTATTTCCAAACTCACTGCTTTTCAAACCATGCGAACATTGTGATAAAACTGTTTCCCAAAAGTCTTACTTGGCACATGTTTTCTGGTTCTGCAAATGTCGAGTTAAAAATATGAAGGATTTGTTGAAGAAAGAAAGAAAAGCATCTAAATATTCACGTCAAATACAATCCCCCAACACTGGCACAGCGTTACGTCTCTCTTCGCCAATAAAGTTGTTCGCATAACCATAAAAAGTGTTCGCATTGACACGGTACTGTTACGTTAAAACGCTCAGGTAGTACAATTGCAAAGAGACGAATGGAGCAAGTAAGGGGGACAAGGGGGTCTTGAAGAGTAATGTGGCATCGGTGAAGAGGGGGGAGGGCGCGCTTTGACGCCAGGCGCCGCTGCGCAGGCCACGGGCGCCGTGCTGGCCTGGGAGAAGAGCTTCCTGGAGGTGATGGAGCGAGCCGCCGCCGACGTGCAGGGCATGAAGGTGTACTACGAGGCCGGCCGCAGGTGAGTAGCACCCGTTTCGTACTATACAATAGTCTTTTCACGTCTACGAAAATGGACAGAACAAATTCGATCCTTTAAAACGTACGTCTGCAATCTTTATAACCGAAATATCTAATTGGGTTGGGATGCCGTGGTATTTCGGAAATTAGCGGAGGGAAACTGACTCGAAAGGAAAGCGCTCGCCATAGCTAGTATAAACGACTCCTGTGGCTGAGGCTTCCCTCTCGTCCTGGAATTGCCCTTTGCGCAGGCAATCAGCTACATATGTTTGCTACTGTCCCTCGCCGAGCCCTTTGTGAAAGAATTGGCTTCCTCCCGCGCTTCTTGCACAGCGCTTCTTGAATAACTATGTTCCCCAGAGGACTCTAGAAAACGTTCACAGATTATCAAGTTATGTTATCTCTAGTACATGGGTCAAATATCTTTTATACTTCGAACACTGGACTCGTTTGTTGGCTTTAGAGTCGATTTCACTAACGCTTGTTAACACGCTATTGTGACAGGAACTCTTATTAGTCCATTAGAGAAATGTTGCGTTTCCCCAAACTTACCTTTAATGAAAGTTTAGGGAGCTTTAATGGGCGTTCTCAGAACCGCTAGGAAGCTAATTTAAGTTTAATTATTAGATTTATATGTCAATAAACTGCAAAAACTGTACGTGACGTATGGGAGAGAAGTATAATCTGCACACGTTTTCTTGAGCTAAGAAATTCCTCCATCAGCTTTTAACCCTAAATAGTTAAATGATTAATTAAAGTACCAACAATACAAGTTTAGTAACATTTTAAAATTCACATTTTCGCTCTCCAGTTAGAGAAAGGTTTTGGCATTGGCAAAAAACTTAATTGTTAGCATTTGGAAGAAAATTGTAACTCATACCCGGTTCTACACCTACCACAACTAGCAAAAGATATCACAACAAACGCGCGTTACATTTACGTCGAGAAGCAAAACATGGAGGCACTTCTGTATTTCTTCAACGACGAAGGTATACTGGACGACGAATCCACAACTCAGAAGCTGAACTACAATACTTGTCACTGTGCACAGTCCTATTATCTAATACATTAAATATCATTTTTCAAATAAATATAATTTCCTTTTTGTAGCTCAAAATAGTCGATTTGTGTACAAGCAGTTTTATAAAAGTTAAATGCATATTTATTATTTTAGAATAACCCAGTGCAAACTGTAACTAATGCATGAACATCATTAAATAAATATCTCCCTTTTTTATAGTCGGTATAATTTATAATTGTACTCAAACCGTTAGGCAGGAGAAAGAAATTCACTTCTCACTTAAACGTGTTAATCGGTTTTCATTTTCTATATAGTCTTGCACTGTGTTAGATGGATATTTATTATTTCTGCAGGTAGGTTTATGCGACCTGGCCGCAAGACATTACAATTTACAATCATTACAATTTACAATATTATTATGATATATCATTATTTTATAAATAATATCAGTTATGGTAGCAATGATAATAACAGTGAAAGCAGTAATAAATAATAACAGTAATTAATTTACAATTTGTTTATCCTATACAAATATCTTAAACAATTAAACACGTGACATTTTAACTAAACTTATCTGCACGTCGCGTCACAACACAACACTTCAATTCAAACATGACATTAAACTAGTGGCGTAACTACAGCACATACCTTTTCGCATTATTTCTAAATTTGCAATTTTAGAAAATTCAGAGATTTCCACAAAAATGATACCCTCACCATTCTTTGAAATTTTAATTCTTTTTAATTGCTCTAATTTCAATGCTCACTTTTTTAAAAATTGTACATGGCTGTTTTTAAAGAGCTGATTTTTGTGGAACATACTTTGATTAATGATAAAATCTTTATCTTCAATTTTGTAGGTTTGAAATGTTAATTTTTTTTGCAATTTTCAAAAATATGGAGAGTCGCGCCGAAAATGGGACTAGCATAATATTTTATCGTTCCTTACAAGGGTAAAATTTAACGAAAAATTGATAACGTTTTTGAGAAAAAACTTGTTTATAAGATAAAAAATTGCCATTATTTCGCGCACAATTACGCAAAAACTACTCATATTTTCGAAATATTGTACTCAACCTTATTTCAAGATCTGTCTTTAAACAAATTTTATCAAGGAAAAAATTTACATCCTCAATATTATAGTTGTGGAAAGACGCCTTCAAAAATTGCCGTCTTATATTTCCCTTTTGTCTAATAAGATTCAGAAAATTGGGCAGAAGGGGACTTACCTGTGGTGGTTGTAATTGGCAATAGGATGATTAAAAAAATTACGTACTTTCAGGTGTACAACCTCTTTCGCAACGCGTTTGAATACATTGGATACAGATTTATGAGTTGAGTTATATTTTGAATCCATTGCTGCTTTAGAATTATTTCGAGGAGTTATCTGTGCGGTGGGTGTAGGGTGGGTCAACAAGTGTCTGGGTAGTTGGACCATTGGGTATGAACCAAGGTACTTTGGTTATGGTTCCTAGGAAACGATTTTGAAAGTCTGAAGTCTAAGAATGTGTGATTTGGCTGCTGAGTCCCAAATAGGCCTTGCGTATGTTAGCATTGGTCTGATCATAGCTTTGTAAAGATGAGTACCGGTTTGAATTTGGAGAGGAGAAGATCGACGTAGTATTGGGAAGAGCTGGTGAGTTCTTTGTGTGGCTAGGGCAAGTCTATGAGGGATGTGGGTTTTCCAGATTAGTCGACGATCGAAAAGGACTCTGAGGTATTTTACTGGTGTGCAGGTAACCAAGGGATGGGTGTGGAGTTGTATGTTAGCGGCGCAGGTGTGGTAGGTCTGCGTAGAGAAAAGAGTTTGGCTTGAAATGTGGTTGGGTTTAATTGGATATGCCATTTATTGGCCCATTCAGAGATTTTATTTAGGTTGTTTTGAACATGTAGGGTTGCGTCATCCAGTACTTTGTTTCTTGAATACACTGCTTGGTCATCGGCGAAGAGTGCGAGGGAGGTGTTTCGGGTGGTCGGTGCGTCATAAGTAAAAATATTGAAGAGAGTTGGAGCTAGGACAGAGCCGTGAGGTATGTAGGATGATTTATTGCAGTGGCGATAGTGTCGCCGAAGAAAGAAATAGCAGAGTTAATTTTCTCTGGGAATTTTAGGAAAGATAGCAAAGGGGTAGATGTGAAAATCTATTATACAAATAATTTCTTATGAATAAGTGAATTGGGGTGTTAACAACTACGAGATTAGCATTACAAGAGAGAAACACCGTTTAGCACTGTTTTGAGTGTAATTCTGTTAGAACAGATGGGCAAAACGGTTTGGGCAAGTTTTTGCATACTGCAACATCTAGAATATCTGGAAGAATGTGTTGATTATACGGATAATAGTCAAGGAATAGCGGAAATAATTAAATGATTTTTGATAACATATTTGAGTAGTGGTTTTCCATTCGGGGAGTCTGAGTCTCCGCCAGTTGTGCTGTCCGTCTCCGAAGCCTCCGGTTGCTCCTTTCGCATTGGCAGACAGTGCGCCCAGCAGTGCCCACCGTAGTTTCCGCTTCTGATCCGAGGTTGCGCTCTAGTTCAGCAATCAGAAGCAGAGTAGCCAGAAGCCCCAGATGGCTTCGCGCCTGTGGCGAACGTCGCCAGAGACGACGCGCGCGCGGAACGACGCTCGAGCTCCTCTCTCAACGACTGGCGACTGGGCTGTAACTAGCGGTGCCAAAACCACGTACTTTCTCGCAAAATTACGCAACATGTAATTTCGAAAAATTGTACGTGACTTATTTCAAAAGCTATCTTTAAGGAACTGATTTCATTAAGGGTAAAACCTCTATCTTTAATATTTTAGCTGTAAGAAGATGCTGACAAAAAGTTTGAACATTAACGAAAAATCGGGGTTTTCAACAAACATGAGACTTGCACCATTCTTTTAAACGTCCTTCACACTACCAACAACACAATTTAATGAAAAACTATGGAGCCATTTTTTAACATTTTGAAAATGTCCTCCAGGCTTCGTGTATAGTACCCCACAAAATTAAAATATCGGTTTTCAACTCAAAGGACCACAACAACAGCCAGATCGGTGGGGCAATCAATTGGGGTCGTTTTCTCGCAGTATTATAAAACTTTCTCTCTACTCCGTAGCAAGAAACTAAGAATAACGTACATGTATTAGGCTAAATGTTGATTTCTTGTAATTGATACTGACATCTCATGAATATGATTTATACAATATGTGCTATAGATATCTACAGGTACAGATTGCGTGAAGTTTATAAGATTTGTTTTCGGTCCAAAAGTGTGGGTAACGTAGGATATGTTTCCCGAAGGTAACGTTACGCCATATCTCAGACGGGAATATACACTCGTAATATATAAACAAACTGTATGAAAGCTGTCTGAATTTCCAAAAATTCTAAAAGTGTAAAACACTAAACTTAATTTTGTGTTCAATCCATTTACATGTGCATTACATATGACTTTTAAAAGAACTGAATTTGTTAACTTTTCGACAATTTTTTTCATTTCATCAATTTCGCCATCAGCTTAATAAATCTGCTATACTCATATCGTACTTCGTAGATGTAAATTCTTTGCAAATACACTGAAAAGCCAAAAAAATGGGTACACCTGCCTCGTGTAGGACCCCACGAGCATGCAGAAGTGCCGCAACACGACGTGGCATGGATTCGACTAATGTCTGAAGTAGTGCTGGAGTAGACACCATGGATGCTGCAGACCTGTCCATAAATTCGTAAGAGTACAAGGGGTGGAGATCTTTCCTGAACAGCACGTTGCAAGGTATCCCACATCTGCTCAATAATGTTAATGTCTGGGGGTTTAGGTGTCCAGTGGAAGTGTTTGAATTCAGGAGAGTGTTCCTGAAGCCACTCTGTTGCAATTCTGGACGTGTGGGCTGTCGCATTCCTGCTGGAATTGCCCACGTCCGTCGGGATGCACAAGGGATATGAATGAGGGCAGATGATCAGACAGGATGCTTACGCACGTGTCATCTGTCAG